TTTTCTTGAAAAATCGTCTATAATGGACAAAAAATACCTAGACCCTCCTTGTGTGGGCTCACTAGCTGGGCCCCACACATCAGCATGTAAATAGTCTAAAATTTGTTTTGAAAAATTTCGGTTATTATTATTAGGGGGTTGGGGAAATTGCACTTTGTGGTGTTTACCATAAACACAGTTATCACAGAAAGCAACAGGTTCAAATTTTACATTTCCAAAACAGCCAGTTTTATGTAAAATTTCTAGACCTCTATTACTTAAGTGTCCTAGTCGTTTATGCCACAATTCACTATTCTCTAAAACAGAATTTACAGAATTTACAGGCACATTTATTGGTTCAGCGCAAGTAACATACAGATTATTACGTTTTTCAGCTTTAAACACGACTAAGGACCCCTTAGTAATTTTCATGCAATTACTCCCCCATTTACCCTCTAATTCTAAATCAGACAAAGCAGCACAAGATAACAAGTTATTTGATAAACCAGGAACATGCCTCACATTATTTAGTTTCAATACAAAACCAGTGTTAAATTTTAAATTTACACTTCCTATTCCAAGAACATTGGATACACTGTTGTCAGCCATGGAAACAGTGCAGTTTTCTAAGGTTTTGTATTCACTAAAAATTGATTTTAAAGGAGTCATATGATAAGTACAACCAGAATCTATAAGCCATTCATTTGCACAAATATTCACATTTGAACAGTCGGTCTTAACAGCAAAAACATCATCACACATGTTATCAAGCAATGTCATATTGGCTACTTCACTAGTTTGCTGCTTTTGACTATTGTTACTGCTATTATTACTGTTATTTTTAATTCTTCTAGGGCATTCACGTATAAAATGATTTGGGTCACCACAATTAAAACATCTTCTACCCCCTTTATTAGGAGTTTTAGATCTGTTTTTATTTCTACTTTTAGATCTATTTTTATTATTATTATTTTGGTTTTTGTTACTACCAAAATTATTTTTCTTATTTGATCTAAAAGGTGACCTACCCCTAGCATACATAACTTCACCCTTACTTGACTTGTGAGTTTGTAAATCTAATTCTTTAGATTTTAAACCATTAATAACTACATCTAATGAAATAAAATCTCGCCCATATTTAATAGCTGATTTTACATCAGAGTATGAGTTAGGTATGGCATTCAATAAAACTATAGCACTATAATCATCAATGTTTTTATCACCAGTAAGTTTAATATCTTGTATTAGTTTAGAAAAAACATCCAGATTTTCTTCAATTGATTTTGATAAATCAAGTTTAAAACTGAAAAATTTTTCTAACAAATACATTCTACTTGGTAATGATGTTTGAGTGTATAGTTCATCCAATTTATTCCATAATGCCAAAGCAGATTCTTGTTTGCCTACTTTTCTAATTACATGATCTGCCAAATGTAAGATTATAGTAGATGAAGCAATTTCATCCAATTCAACCCTCCTCTCAAGAGGAACTTGAATCGAATGATCAGGCTCCACTGCTTTAATCAACCTTTGAGTTACTAAAATACTTCTCATTTTTTGTTTCCAAATTGCAAAATCCATTTTTCCATCAAAAGGTTGAATACTAAAACCAGAGTGACTCGCCATTTTATTTATATTGAGAAACAGATTTTCAATCAAATATTACTTAGTTTTCAGAAAATTATTTTCTAATTTTCACACAAAACAGAAACTAAAAATTTGGCAAGAGATCACACAGTCGAGCAGAAAATACAGATTATCACACACAACAGATAATCACAGCAGGCAAAGAATTAATCACAAGATATAACCTAACTATTACAACATACACTCGTGACTATTCAACCGAGGTACTCGAGAATAACTCACTGATGTGAGGATTAGAGTTTAGTAACCTGGTTTCACAATAGCCTTTACAGATGATTTCGGCGAGAAATTAAATGCAGTAATTAACCATTCACAACAACAGTAATAACATTCACCAAAGCAATAAACCATACACAAAGCAGTAAACCATACACAAAGCAGTAATTGTAAAAGATGGGTTTTAGAGATTACCCTTGAAGCACAGCAACAAAAAAAAAATTAATATTCCTACAAAAAGTAGGAACAGAGAACAACACAAAACGGCCTATTCTCCTTTTTGGAGAATAGGGGTTAGCAATGGTTAATCTCAAGAAACAAAAAATACTAAAAAAAATTTGTTTCTCTTCTAACTAAAAGTTAGAATCACTGAAAACTAACACCAAAACAGTGTTCTCCACAAATCCGACACAACAATGCAAAAAACAGACTGGCTTACAGATTTTATCACTAATTTTCAAACGAGAAAAGTTTGAATATTAAAGAACTTTTTTCTTTCAAAAAACTTTTAATATTTTCAAAAAAAAACTTTTGAGTTAGACTCATCCAAACGAATTTTAACAGATCTAAAACCACACAGAGGCAACTATCCTGACTTATACTTTGTTTAACAAAGAAAGTTTGAAAACAAAACCGTTTTTTAAAAAAATACAACGGTTTAGTAACAAACTAACTGAAACTTAGCCCAACTAACACAGACTATACAGATCTGAAGCGATTAAGACTATCTATTCACAGATCTCACTCGACCGAGGCTAAAGAAGCACAGATCGACTGTTATCTTGGCCGGTTTCAAACAGATCTAAAAGGAAAAGAACCGAACACTGAAAAAATAAGTCCGATTCAACCAGATCCTTTCAGATCTACACTATTTACACCAAAACTAACTAAAACCAAGAAGGACAAACGATTTTTCTAAAACGAAAAAGGCACACAAAGCTCTGATACCACTTGTTATTTAAAAATGCGGAACGGATCTAAACTTTTATTAAGAAAATCGAACAAAACTTTAACTCGTTTTGGCTAGGCTCAGCCCCTAACCACTCGAAACACAACATATACACATACACACTCGAATCGCGACTAACACAAGCACACCGGCCACAACACCACGACTCACAACCACAAAACCCCCACAGAAAAGTAAAAGGCATACAGGAAACAGAAACCACAAGCCTACAGTTGAACGAGCCCCTTTCGGCTACGAACAACACAAACAGGGGGAAACCAGTGCCAAAGGAACTCCACAGAACAGGAGGAAAGGCACTACACAACAACCGCCGTGAACCACCGTCGGACAGGAGAGTGAAAGAAAGGTCGAGAGAGAGAGAGGCTAGAGAGGGTGAGCTTGTAGAGAGAGAGTGAGTAAAAAAATGTATCGAATGACGGCGTCTCTCTCACCCCAGGTATATATATACAGGTAAGATCGGATGGACGGATAGGATCAAAACCCTAGATCGGACGGCCAGGGGCGTGGCTTAAAAAAGACGCGGATCCTAGTCAGGTCGGATCAGGACGTGGGTCAAGGTCGGGAGGCATAAGGTCAGACAGTCGGTATGTATTCGGATGGTCCAAGTCGGGACGAAGTCGGGCGGACGGTCGAAGTCGGGACGGTCCAAGCCAGGACGAAGTCGGGACGGTCCAAGCCAGGACGAAGTCGGGACGGTCGGTCGAAGTCGGGACATGGGCCAGGCCCGAATGTGCTCGGGCTGCGAAACGAGTGTGTATTTGTGTATCTATTTTTGGGGTGGACCATAAGGACAAAAAATCCAACAAAAATGATAAAAATAGTACATTGAGTTGAGATGAAGGAAGTAAGAATAAAAATATTTTTAAGTGACAGACAAAAAAAGAATATTTTTAAACAACGGACAAACAAAAAAAAGCGAGTGCAAATTTAGATGACAATAGAGTATATATTATCAAATAATTAAATTGATTTATATTTATTAAATATATATACATAGTGTATTATTTTATATGTTATTAAGTTAATTAAGGTACTTATATTTATTAATTATATTTTGAATTAATAATTTACCAAATATAAAAAGTATCAAATAAAATGGAAATGTTATAATGAAAAATATGTCATTTGATGGGGTATAATCTAATACTACTATACTAAAAATAATAATAATATTATTATTAATATTAAATTTTGAATGGGGGGCGATACTTAATAATAACTATTATTATAAATAATAATTATATTTAATTAGTTAGTGAAAGTGTATATTAAATTATTGATAAAAATAATATGATAAATAGAAAATTAGTGAAAATTAATTAAATAATAAAAAATCGAATAAATAGAAAAAAGCAATGACAAATATATTATTCACTTTTGGGTTTGTTTGTTTTGTGTTTTGGTTCCAAGGAATTTTTTTTTTTTTTATTCGATGTATGAAGAATTATGTAGATACTATAAAAATAATAATATATGTAATATATTAATATTTTTTGGAAAATGTGTTAGAACTTTTTCACAAAAAGAACACACCCTTTGTATTTTTTTGGATGAATGTATTTTTATATTAAATATGAATAATTGTGTTGATAATATAAAAAATAATATTTGCGTTGAATTGTTGGGTTTTATGTATGAATAAAATACTTCCTTCGTCCGAAAAAAAAAACACATTTATTTATTTATAATTAACATTAATTAATTTTATAAAAGATGTGGAGTTTTAAATATAGATAAAAGAATTTCTTATCATATTATATGTTATGTAATTAACTAAGTTGATTTATATTTGTTAAATATATTTTGATTTAGTATGTCTTATCCATAATATAAAGATGTTAATTATTATGAGAGAGACAAAAATAAAAAATGTGTCAATTATAAGATGAGACAAATGAAGTATATTTTACATATTTAGTTAATATGAGTATATGATATTTTTTAATAAAATTTATAGGGATCGTGCTATAAAAATACTAAGGGTGTGTTATCTTATCCAATTTCCTCAAATTTCTACTATTCACCAAAAAATTTTCCTCTAAAAACATTAAACCAAAAATCTAATTTTTCTTTTTATATTATACTAAAAACCAATTTTACATTAAAAATATCACATCGACACTTATTTATATCACATCATACAACTTTTCTAATTTAAAATTTTTACTATTCAAATCCCAACAAAAAAATCCAAACCCCTAAACTGACGTGACCATCACACAAACCGAACCAATAACTCGGAGCCGAGCCCAAAAGTTTCAAATGACTATTTCCAGTTTAGTCCAACATGCCATAGACTCAATTCTTGAAAAGATCGTTGAAGGCGGATGTAACATCCCGATTGCCTCAAATTGGAATATTACTGCCACATCGAACTAAGGAGTCAGTTTTACTGAGCCGGCCCGCCTAGTGCGATGCTAAGGCTTAGATATAATATAAATATAAAATTCAAAATGCTAAATAATTATCATTTCTTTTTTATAAGCATTACAATAAAACACGTGTCAATATTTTTATTCGCAATTAAAATATTAGACCAATATAAATAAAATAGCAATAATTAATTAATTAATTAGGTCCTCTCAACCCTATATAAATCCTGTCGTGATGCATAGAGCAAGTCCTTCTCATCCATATTACCTACAAAATGTAGATTTAACATCAGCAAATTGTTGAATAAGTTATACAAAATTATATAAGTAAATACAATTTAAATTATACACATTTATAAATTTGATGTTACATGTGTTATGATTATCTCCTTGTTTCTTTGTTATATTTATTTTGTTTAAAAATATGAGGAGGGTTTAAGGTTTTGTTGAGTACATAAAACAATAAGAGATAATATACACACTGCCAATTCAATTCTAAAAGGACTTTCTGCTGCTAGCAAACATAAAGAAGAATAATTCAAAAGTTCGGTAAAAGATACTAGGGTTGAAAAGATTGAACCACAACATTCAAACAATCACAACATTCTCAGAACTATTTCAATTAATGATATGCCCACCTGATATAGCAAGCAAACATACTTAGGTACGGAATTTTGGAAAGAGTATAGAGAGTGAGTATAATAATGCATGAAGACATACAAATCTCTCGTAAAGAAATTCACAATATGATATCATTCTCTTAAGTTCAAGTGTTATAGAATACATAAAAAATGTGCCACTTTAAATAAAATTAGATTAGAACATACAAAATCATGTTAATGAGATCACACCAAAAACATCATCTACCTTTTGGAAATCCCTCTTGCTTTATGTGACTTTGATTATCATCATCACACGACCAAACAGAAATCAGAATGCCAAGGAACAATTGCTTTTGCAAAGAAAAATAAATTGTGTCACATGTCTAGTTGTGTACCATACAATTGAGCTGTACCAGAATCAACCAATTCAGATCTCTCTTTAGTGGTAACAAAATACAACCCATAGTCTACAAAGCATGCATATTAATGGTCTTCCGCTATAAATTCTTGGCACACCTAATTAGCAACAATAAACCACATAATATCGTTAATGGAAATTATTTGCTATAGAAGACTGATAACAGATATAACATATGTTATAAAGATATAACCTAAACCACAAACTCATATGCAATTCATGAATCTTTTCATCAAAAAAAATGAACCAAGAAATAGCACATCAGTAACATAAACAACTCACGAATCGTGATTTGATATACACGGCTGTAATTGTAGTTTAAGCGCAGCAATGGCTTCAAGTTTGAAATCTACTCGTAGGCCCAAAATTCTCCTGACCTCTGCAGGAGTTAGTCTCTATGTCATGGGTCCAGAGTTCTCTCCCCAAAAATCCAAAATCTCAAATACTTTTTCAAGTAGAAGGGTATCATATGTGTCATAATGGTTGCATCCTAAAAACTCATTGCTCAATAAGTAAGTCCATGTCAAACAAGACATTAGATCATTTTTTCTTTAGGGAAGATCAAACCAACAACAATTGTTTCTAGATTTTTTTAACAATTACAGTGACTGAACATTCTTTAAGTACTTGTGTTAATTGTATGTTAAGTGATTATTATCTGCATAGTTATGCTAATTTCTCTAGATCCCCCAAGTCTAAATCCTACATTGTCCATGTCAAGTATAAAAAAGAAATTAGGTATTTGTTAAGTTGAATGTTGGAGTTAAAACATAAATAGAGGAGAAGTATTAAGCGGAAGTCTGTTAGAATTGTATAGATTCAACAACGAGCTGACATCATTCTCGCAAAAGCTAAACCTAAGAATACAACGAATCAGACAAAAGAGCAAATAAAATTCAATGTTGAAATTGAATTATCAAAAGCATTTGTTGGGGTGCAAACCCAAATCTCACATTGAAAGTTGTGAAGAAAATTCCACACCTTATAAGTCTCATATGAACTCCACTAGTACGAGGTCTTTTGGAGGAAGTCGAAAAACAAAGCCGTTCGGGCTCAGCCCAAAGCGGACAATATCATACCAGTGTTGAGTTAGTCCATTCCTAACAAGTGGTATCAGAGCCAAGTTCGATGGTGAAGTGGACTGAAAGGTATTGGGCATTGGTTGTGTTGGTGGAAAGCCCTCGCCCTCGTTGACCTCGTGATTAGAATCTGCGGTGTGGCTAAGACGGCCCAAGTGTGTAGATCAATGGAATATCATTGGAAGGGAGGCCCATTTATTGGTCTTTGGTTTGAGGGGAAGATTGTTTGGGTACAAACCCAAGTCCCACATTGGAAGTTGTGAAGAAAATTCTACACCTTATAAGTCTCACTTGTTAGGATTGGACCAACTCAACATTAGTATGGTATTATCTGCTTTAGGCTGAGCCCACACGAATATAAGTCTCAAATGAACTCCAAAAGAATGAGGCCTTTTGGTGCAACCCAAAAATAAATCCGTTCGGGCTCAAATCAAACCGGATAATATCATACTAGTGTTGAGTTATCCCTGGTGGTGGAAAGCCCTCTCCCTCGTTGTCCTTGTGATTGAAATCTGCAGTGTGGCTAAGGTTGCCCAGGGTGTGCAGATGAGTGGAATATCATTTGGAAGAGAGGCCTTTTGGAGTAAGTCCAAAAACAAATCCGTGCGGGCTCAGCCCAAAGCGGACAATATCATACTAGTGTTGAGTTGACCCAATCCCCTAACAGTGGTATCAGAGCCAGGTTTGATAGTGAAGTGGACTGGAAGGTATTGGGCATTGGTTGTGGTGGTGAAAAGCCCTCGCCCTCATTGACCTCGTGATTGGAATTTGCGGTGTGGCTAAGACGGCCCAAGGTGTGCAGATCAATGGAATATCATTAGAGGGGAAGCCCATTTGTTGGTCCTTGGTTTGAGGGGAAAATTGTTGAGGTGCAAACCCAAGTCCCACATTGCAAGTTGTGAAGAAAATTCTACATCTTATAAGCCTCAAATGAACTCAGCTAGTATGAGGCCTTTTGGAGGAAGTCCAAAAACAAATCTGTACGGGCTCAGCCCAAAGCGGACAATATCATACTAGGATTGAGTTGACCCAGTCCTAATAAGAGGGGTGCAAACCCAAGTCCCACATTTGAAGATTTGAAGAAAATCTAACACTTTTTAAGTTCCATATGAACTCCACTAGTATGAGGCCTTTCGGAGGAAGTCCAAAAATGATCCGTGCGGGCACAACCCAAAATGGATAATATTATACTAGTATTGAGTTAGCCCAGTTCCAACAATATTTACTGAAATTTACCTTTGATATTACGCGCTACTGCACAATACGCATACACTTTGAAAGTGGACGAGAAGAGCGATGTCTACAGCTTCGGTGTCGTCCTCCTTGAAGTAAAGGAACACTTACCGATTTGGGAAACTTTTCTACTTAGTGAGCTTTCAGATTCTGACAAATGGTGGCTATGGCGAACAACAACAATCCTTTCCAAGTTTACGACCATCAGCTGCCCTATGACTTTCACACAACTTTCACAGACAAACCGACCATCGTCAGCCAATGGATTTCCGATATCGACGCAAACTATGGCCACCACATCGTCGGGGGAGCAGCGTCCTCACACTTCCTATCAAAATCCGACGCTGCAGCTGAGCATCCGGTGGCCTGCTTCTTACACTTAATAAAATTAGGGCTTTAAAGAAATTAAGGAGGAAGCACTGACATTCGTCTGAATAAATTTTTACTTTAATAGAATAATTTTATATTAGGCGCTATTTTCTGCGCCTCTATTTTTACTTTTAAAAATAATTTTATAGTAGGTGCTAGCTACTGCACCTCCACTTTTATTTCAAAAAATAATTTCCTTCACTTTTATTTTAAAAAATAATTTTATCTTAGGTTCTACTCACGGCGCCTTTTATTTTTATTTTTTAAAATAATTTAAACCAGAGCCGCAGTTATTTGAGCCTTTTTTATTTTGAATTTTTAAAAAAATTCAAAATAGAGGCACGGTCATTGGCGCCTTCAGTTTTTATAAAAAAAAATTGAAAACCAAGCGCGTGAGAAGGCAACTTTTTGAAAAAATAATTAATTTTTTATATAAAAAATAATAGGGTGTGGTAGTCCGTGCCAATATTTATTTTTTCATATTTTGGTCACAAGTTCACTCCTCACACCATCGGGTCATTCCTTACCGGACAAATGCACTCTTGTAGTTAATTGACCTAGATGTTATATTTTCAAATGTAATATAAGATAAGCTAATTTGTAAAACAATATTAAATAAATAAAGTAAACTATTGTACCAAAAATATGAAAATATGGTTAGATTGGTTGTTTTTTTTAACTGGAATATTTAATTCTGCTTCTATAATTTAATTCACTTCACAATCTCCATGTTATATTTCCATTCTCTAACATAAACCCCAAATAGGGTCTGTTATGAATGTCATCTCAAACTTTTTGATGTAAGTTTTACCCGAATTTTAGACTATTGTTAAAAGAATTTGATTATATTTTATGAATCCCATAATATAAGTAAACTTAATCATTGCGGGACATGTAAATTATTAATTTTAGCACAATAAATATATTTATACAACACCATATATGCTTTTATATGACACAATATTGTACCGTGCTATATAAAATATATATTGTATCGTGCTATATAAAACATATGTTGTCAGACTGAAACCGCCGCCAATTTATTTCCATGTTATGGTAGTTTAATTAATCATTTTTTCTAGCTCCTAAAAAAAGTCAAGATTTATTCAATATTTCTACGTGTTTGAATTTTCCTTGAACCCCCTATAACTTTCAATATGCTTTTTGTAGAGGAGTTTGTCTTTTTCATAGCGTCATATTTAATCTTATAAAGTTGTTTTCATCTAACATGTAAAGCTAAATCACACGTGGCACAAGCATTGGCGTGAAATACTGAACATCTAGCAAATATAAGTGTGATCGAGAATATATGTTTAGTGAAATTAAGAAATCACCATCTCTATCAAAGGTGAACAAAAAGAAAGAAAGAAAAAACCTTTTTCTTTAAAAAAATTCTTACATGGAAAAAGTTGAAAGAAGAAAGAAAAGAAATACCCGACCAAAGAAATTAAAAACTATAGAACAGTATAAACATTAGCCTGCCTTAGACCCTTTAAATTTTTTTAAGATATCTCTTGTAATTAAGAATTGCTACTTCTCTCATTCATCTTCTAAGATTTGGTCGTATTTTACACAATTTTCTTGAAATCACAAGTTCTTGTCACACACACACATTGCACACCTGCGGATTTGCCATTGTATGCATAGGAGGAAGCAATACAAATTTCCCATACTCTTTATCGATAATAGAGTGTGTGCTGATGACAAAGTCATATTGCAACAACTCTTCAATATCAGTCCTGAGATTAGATCACATGTCGCTGCTGAGGATGAAATTCCCATTGACGAGTCCAAGTTCAGGACTACTCGGAAAGCTTGAATTACACACACACACACATACATATATATACTAGTAACTCAATGTGCTATGCCGCTTGAATGTTTATAATGTAAAGATATTTGAAACATAAAGTTAGAAATATAATATAATCATCAAGGGTGTATATTTAACATGAAAATATGTAGTATAGTTAAATAAATATAATTTGAAGGCATATCATTAATTACATAACTAATTGACACAAAATATCGATTTGCATAAGAAAAGCACAAGAACCGTATATAGAAAGCATCCCAATAATACTATAAAAGTTCCCTCAAACAAAATCTAGAAGCTCCTCCTTAGTTGAACCATTAAGATAATTCCCAAACTTTGAAGTTTGATATATTACAAGACTAAAACCAACAATACAACTGATATCAAATATAATTTTATCAATTATAAAAAGGCAAAGATATATTTCAAATATATTTTCGGTAAATATAATTAGAACAATATTCTACGATAATAATGCACAAGCTCGAAGATACAATCAAAAAATATTATATAAAAATAATACTCAAGCTCCATTCCATTTGAAAAACACAAATTTACCTCAGAGCATATTTCTTAAGAAATATTTTTTATTGAAGAAGTCCATGCGAACATATACAAATGATATCTTGTATGCCATAACTTGACTGGTCCTATCCCATATCCTTTACCTTTTGTAATGCTTATCCCATATATCAAATTAACCATGCACAAAAGCATATCAGTGATCAAGCATACAATCAGATGCAACATGGCATCACAAATGTATGCATTTTTCAACAACTTCATAAAATTTGGAGACAGTGTGACACTTTTTAGAAGAACTATAAACTTAAGCACAAAATAGATGGAAGTATTTTAAAATTGATAAAGTCATGTTGTTATACAAATCTTAGAATGCAACGGGTGGTTGATTTAGAATAAATTATTTTTCGGAAGCATGATTCATTCAATCAAGACATCACATATTACCTTTGGCAAGATTGGATAAATTTTTAACTTGGAGTAGGGTTCATCGTGTAAATAGAGACGAAAGTTCAAATTTTGATAAAGATGTAACTACTATGTTACATACACCACAAAACAATTACATTCAAAGAAAGCATCACCACAAATGAAATGAAAGAAATTGGACTCCATTTCTAATATGTGACCGTAACATGATAAAATATTGGATAAACCAACGGCTGGAAGAATTTTTTAAAAGTTGGATTTGATCTGGATTGGATTTTGAATTTTCTTTTTTTTTTTTAAAAAAAAAGGACAAGATTTGGAATGTCTGATAGAAATATTTCATGGTCTATGAAAAATAAATACAAACACAACCAATTAAAAGAAGTTTTCTTTAGACACCTTGTACAGGACGGCAACAATATGAGACATCTCAAAACTGATGACCTACAACAACTAAAATTGTGAGATAATGGAAGCGGCCAAAGCTTGTTCCAGTGTTCTTCATTTATCAACGAGATTAACAAACTTCTATAGATCAGGGGATTTTTCGGTGAAATTTTAACAAATAGCTAGAATATGAAGAAAAAAAAAATAGTAAAATGAAACTACATATCAAATATATCACTTATTAAAAAAAAAAAACCTTCATGCTTAAATGCACATGATTTAGCTTCAAATATCCTAACTAAGATGAAGTCTATCTAACAATTTTTAGAAATTCTAATAGATTCATTTAATCAACGCATAAAAAGACATATAATGGATAATATTAATTAAAATCATATTCATATTTCATATTTATACTACAACACAAGCTTAAGATGATAATATATCAATTAGCTAGCAGTACATTTGGATACAATTAACATATGGATGAGAATAATATATGAAGCAAGAGAACAACTATTCAAATTAAATGATATGGAAACTGCATGGAAGTTGTCTTTTATGCTTAGAAATATAAGCAAGATAAAACCACATTCTCATAAATACCAATTTCAGTAAAATTTTATATTCGAATATAATAACTTCAACCCCAAGTTAGGAATCCAGTAAAGGAGGGAAAAATTTATACCAAAAATTAAGATAAACCCTAGTGCATGAAATGGCAACACATATTCAACAATCCAAAATCAACAAACATTTCAAAGACATAGATAAAAATAAACACCAGTGAATATAAACTTGCCTAAGAAATGGTAAAAATCCAAAACACACACACACACAAATACCAAGAAAACAAACCATATAAAAATGCTACTAATATTCTCACTCTTCTCAAATTTGCCATATCTCAATTATGAATGTCAAAAATCTTAGAGCAACTTTCAAGAACTTTCTCTTCGGTGTAGAAACTGAGGGAAGCAAAGCTAGCAACAATACTTAATTTTTTCTTAATAGGATTAAGAGTATGGTGGTTCAAGGAGGGGAATAACTCAAGTTAATTCTCACCTACCTTCATATAATGCAAACCTTCTGACTGAACACCAAATCATCTTCAGCATGCTTTCATTTTCTAAAATCCCCGTTAATGTCAAAGCAAAACACAATGACTTTGAAAGTTGCGTACATTACCGTTACTATCTTTCTCAACAAAATATCTTGACAGAAATTGGGTGCCAACATTAGCATCAAAAGCATTCGAAGAGCTATTAAAATTTTTTGCATTGGATGTGCATCCCTAATCTCCAACTAAATTTAATTGAACATTACTTGCATGTGACAGGAATCAAAATTTAGGCAACAAAATCACCGGAGCAAAAGAGTCCCCTAAAAGGATGAAAACAAAAATGCATGTCATCACAATTCTCTATCAAACATAAGCTAGTTTCAATAGTAAAAATAAAAATAAAAATGAAATGACACAACAATATGTTGGAAAATAGTTTTGGCGAAATCTAAGATATGACAAAATTCAAAAACACACATCAGATATGATGCGAAATGAAATCCGAGCCTCGTGTTACACGCGATATCCTTAAAGCGAATTCGGCTTTCTACTGATTGCCTCTCAGGATAGAACAACTTATCAACAGAATAACAAATTCCTCAAACCGAGTTAGAAAAATTTTGGAATAAAAATTTGCAGAGAATTTTCTTGGAATTTAAAAGGAATAAGTTTTCCGTATATGCAGATGGAGGAAAAATACTGCATATATAGAAAACTTCTTTCTTCTAAATTCTTAGAAAATTTAATTAAATACCTAAAAATCCCCCACACGAAAGAGGAAAACGATGACTCGATGATGAAAGAAAGATGAATTCTTCATAGGATAAGTA